CCTTCTCATTATAATACGACATGTGGTGACAATATGATATGGCTCTAAAAGTAAACACGAAGAGTTCTACCATGATCAGATAATCCATTAAAGCACTTGTGTTCATACTTGTCACCATACATCTAGTTATCAAACCTAATCATCATGTTAACCTTCACTTACACTACATTGCCTTGTCATCGTATAACGGTGTCAACATATCATCACGTCACACTGTCAAACTGGACCATGTCAACTTGTCACAATGTTGTCATATCAGTATTAACATGTTTGTAGAACAACAAAACTCACTCGTGTGTAAATAAACATATTTATTAAAATGATAAAAAAAATCACAGACATGTTGAAATTGAAAAGAATGAAACATATATTAGCTAGCTATCGTATAAACATATTGTTTGTTTCCTCCCCTACTGTAGTGAGCGCCCTTCCTTGCTTTGTACCTGCAAAATCCGAGCACAATGATCGGAGTTTCTTTGCTCTATACCTATGCACGCAAACTTTCCTATGAATTTGGAAATAAGTTGACAACTTCGTTTACATGTATTGTAATGACACACAATTATAGTCACTTACTATCACTTAACAGTTGTAATTTCACTTTAATCACTCGATTCTATAATGAACACACTGTGGACTTCCAAGGTGTAAGGTTTCTATTACTTAACGTTTTCCTGGGGCCGATTTAAAAAAATAATGTAATAGTGACTAATAACGTGGGTTCGGAGCTATAATTAGCTACCAATTCAGTGATATCGTTTTTAGGATCTGGGCTATAATTCGATACACGAAAATATTTCATACATGAAGGATTGTAGATCCTGTTACAGAAATCTTTAATCACATTAAGTAGTGCTTCAATTAAAAACAACAATTTACCACTATAGAATTGCTAACGTTAATTTCTTCATTTGAACATTTCTGAACGAAGCGTTTTTTTTTCGAATGTCTAATAACTCAAATATAAAAGGAAAGGTGATGTGACGCTGACATTTAAGTTGATATTCTAGACAATATGTGAGTTTTACCTTTCCGCGACCGAAGAAGTCGTACAGTATAAGACAGATAATGCTTGCGACCAAAGATGACAATGCGCAACGGAGTAGGCAGTACCCCTTCCTAACTTTGTGTGGTTTGATAGCAACGCTGTATGACATATGAGACTAAACCTTTAGGTTATAATGAACTTATACGACGACATAGTATGGATTGTAATGGTACTTGTAATACCCTGAGTATATTTCGTGACATTTTTGACTTTCACGGAGACACATGAATCTCAGTCTCAACCACACAAAGACTCTCTGGGTTTCTATGGCGCGTATAACTATTTTAATGGAAGACAAGGTTCTAAATGAAAATATGATAATTGCTGTGGTACTTGTAGTCCTGTAATAGGCTAAAGTACTGTATTGGTTTTACATCCGACATAGTACCATTTGCAATATAACCTTTAATTAAAAGCAATACAAGTGAATCATTGGAAAAGAACCATTTGAACTAAAGAATCTTTCTGTAAACGTTAATTAGTACACAGATACCCAAAATAGCTCAGGTAGCGAAGTTTCGTGACAATTACAGTTCGGTACAGCTCCGTGATCAGAACAATGTGTGTCGGCGGAAACCAAATATATATAATTGTTGTGAAGCGACAGCACACGCTCGGCCAAATATGTCTTTTTAATATATCTGTAATGAGTCTAGCAAAAGTCTAAACAACAGAACCAAACAGTAGGACTAGTGTTTTGTCTACACTATATACGACACTGGACTGTCGTGTGAACGGCACGGAATGTATATATCAACAGTTGGTATTGTATAGATCAGCGAAGTGACAATGTATCGAGTAGACACAGTATATATCGACAAGTTAATACGTCTTCTTTGATCCTTCCGAGTTACTTCTGTACCCAGTACAACCTGATACTACTAATATGGTGAACCTTAATCAAGCAGGTGATCATAAAATTTAGTTAAGATATAAAAAAAACCATGGAAACAAATGAAATTATAAACGATATTTCCTGATAAAAAAAAATGTCCGCGATGTTCATAATACAAATGCCCGAGGTGAAGTTTCATTTTGGGAAGATTTCCTGTCAAACAATGCGGAAGACATAGACTTACAGTTTTGTGTGGCCTGCCTATACCGAGCTATGCTCTGTAGCCAACAGTGGAAGTTAATGCGCTGGGCCTCTCCGAACCAATTACTGGCGAACGCCGAGGCAACTAACATGTGTACATCGTGTTCGTACTCATTTCCACAACGTGCGTAGTTTTCGTAGCACCGTTTGATAGCACTGAAGATCCGGTCGCTATCCGCATAAGACGGTTTCTTGAGGAGGAATCTAGCAATGAGGAGGGAGAGCTTGGCGATGCTCTCAGGCGTGTATCCGTAATCATAGTCGGGGTCGAAGTCCGCATACTGCGCGTCCAACAGCTCGTTTCTTTTTTCTTGTAACTCCTCTCTCGACTTCCGGTACTCTCTTTCCAGAACACGATTCTTTGACTCAGAAACCTGCAGATCACGCTTGAATGTTTTCAGCTGCTGCTCTAGGAATGAAATACGCGACACAAGGTTTGACACTTCCGCTGATGTAATGCTGGCGTTCAGCCGGATATTGCCGAGCCGAGAGGCGGCAAGGGAACGTTCATTATCTACGTCGTCCTTAATGGCGGCAGCAATGCCCTCGCACCGCATTTGGTGAGCGGCTAGTTCGTAGCGGTGGATGTTGGTGCCACATCCTGCACACTTGACTGGTACGTACCCACATGTCTCTATGTGACACGCCAACTTCTCCAGTTTGGTGATAACTTTGCAACCCCGGTCATTGTTGTCGCATGTGACGTCAAACCCGTTAATGAGGTTTCGAAGGGAGAGCACTGGCTTCATTTCGCTCTCTGTCACTTTGCTGCGACATTCTGGACACGTCCGAACATCTGGTTTGCTGAGCCAAGTGTTGAGGCATAGCCTACAGAAGCTGTGTCCACAAGGGGTCAACACGGGATCTTCTAGTACGGATCCGCAAATTCCACATATCAAATTCGGGTCGACGGTAGTAATAAACCGATGTGTGCCGTACCCCATTGTCAGCGTTTATATGGACTTCAACGGCTATTTCAGAGTTTACCAGCCAGTAAATCACTTAACAGACACTTGTGTTCCTGGGTCAGTACTTGGTGGGGTTTGTCGGACAATGATAATCCGTCGCCATTCGTTTGGTGTGTGAGCCACAATGCAAGTCCACTATTTCCCATAACAGAATTTTCACCAGCGGCTATCTAACTCCTGTAAATGAAGTGTAACGATTTCGTGTTAGTCTAGGTTGGCGTACCTAAGTGTATATTGTAAATGTAAATCACTTCCAATTTAATATACACTGAACGTTGTAGATGAAGCGTAACAGCTTTTTCAAAGCGCTTAAAGTTTTAAATATATTTGTAAATAATTCTAAACGGCACACAATTTAAAAATTCCTATACAGATCACAGGATGGTCCTTTTTACTGTTCGGTCTAATTCTCCTGTTTTATCGATAGCTATCTGTTCAATATTTATCCATCGTTTAAAGCCGCGGTCCGATATTTTTAAATGTCTGCCGTATCCCGTGTCACAGCATTCCTTGCCGAGGTAACAATGAGGGAGTGGAGCGTGGCCGCCCGTTGGCCGTTACCTGTGCGCTACCTGTAGAGTCTATAATTATGCATTCACCTTTTTATGGAAATCAATACACATTTCGTGCATGTTGCCTGACTATTACGGAGAGAGACGGATAAAACCAGCTCACTATTGGTCGTGATCTCTCGTTGAGAAACACCGCAGTGACGGCACGGGTTCACCTCTTTCGGTGCGAGGCTAGCTATCGATATCATAATGACAATAATAGTACGCCTATCTGTTAGATTATTGATGGACGTAAGGTTCAGAATGTCAGTTATGGTTTACACCGCTAGTATTCCTACACTTAACCGTAAAGATACTGGTACAACGTCTACAGACTTCAGGATATCGATGGGTGGCCCGTTATTGGAAGGACCGGAGGGTCGTAATTTTATTATTGAATGTAATTCACGCCCGCTCTTTTATCAGTCTGTTTCAAGTGATCAGAGGGCGTGGCAGGTGATCCACCCGACAGATGTTAGAGAGTGGACTCATACTTAATGCATGCCCCTTTCTTCTCATTCAATTAAAGACGCAGCGACAGATTTTCCGACCCTCTTTTGTGTATCGATTTCCGATAGTTACACAGTAGATATATGATAGAACACCGCCCCGTACTAGCCTTACACCCATGTCACCTTAACGTGTCGAACTACTTACTGTAGGTAACATATTCTCTGTTCATTATACCTTAATATTCCCACACTATATAAGTATACGGATGTTCACACAAGGTCAGATAGACAGTCGGTTAACTAAGAGTCTATTGTCTGATTGAAACACGACACCTTTTAGAAACGTGTTTGCCTACATTTATATCTGTTTTAAGTGGTGTTGTAACGGAAAGGTATACATACATACATGTATAGCTAATATACCTGGTACAATATACGTACACATAATGGTTATAATATACACGGCGGGTTACCCGTTTGGTACATATACAGTAGCCGAAACTTTGTTTTCATTACAAATCAAACTATGTGAAATCCTTTCAATTGTAACAATGATCGATGATTCCGATGACATCCATTGTACAGCAGTTAGTTTGAAGTTCGTACGGGTAACAATATTTTAGCAAGAGTTAATTGTTGAAGCAATGTCAGTGACGAAATAATTTGTTGCTCACCTGGTATATTGTATTTACCTAGACACGTGTGATCAATCGCCAAAAAGACCAGTGTCTTACTGTTGTTCAGGATATGGTGCCGTATGCAGCAATGAAACTTTCACAACAAAACAATTTTAATATACAGTACAGTATATATACAGTTCAAGTATTTTCTTGGGGTATATAGCAAGTTTATTGCAATATAGTGTTCGATGTTTTCTGAAGATTGGTAACAACTAGCTGGGGTCATGTCAATATAAACACCACCCAACTTTCACCTGATTGGCTTGGTAATTTCCATGAAGGCGCCACGGAAAATACCGAGGGAGTTAGTCTACATCTCCATGATTTCCCGAGGGATTTAGTGTGCAGGGGCGTTTAGTGTTTGGACTAACACATGGCTGATAGAGTGCTCACTTCTTTGACCGGCAAGTTTTGGCAAAAGCGGGGATATTATTGAATGTAAGGAATTGATTTTGTAAAGGAGTGAATAAAACAGAGGTACATTATTATGAGAGGTACGGCAAAAAGGAAGGACTTTTATTACCCGGCTTTTATGAAGGGATTTATGCTAGAGCAGGAACGTAAATATACACACATACCTCAAAGATATCTGTCAATTATCTTGAGTTAAACCAAATAAAAAAAATACACAATTTCTCATAAATATGTGAGTGTTTTTAAACTATTGTTTCTAACGACAGAAAACACGCGACGATTTTGGAATTTATTCTGTATCATGATAACTTTGGATATTGTTTACAGTCAAATCTGTCTTAAGAGACTACCTAAGGAAGACTCACCAAGAATAAATGTATTGAAGTCTTCATCACATGGTAATTTGGGGGATTTTCCGAAGATCTATATTTTGGCATAACGTCAATTATGTTTCTCCTCGATTAAACACATTGTCACGATCTAGCTTGTCGTAAGATTATTTGATCACAAAATGACAATTTTATTTATTCTGTATTCTGCTTCTGACTTCATACACACTCCACACAGCCAAGGACAGCTTGGTATATATGCGAGTAACGGGTCAGTAGATTTACCTATCAAAAACATATCCATTTAACATTTAACAGTTTTCGTTACTGCACATGTGCCTTTGACATGCAGCTTAGCATGTTCCCCTTGTAATGCTGCTTTTTTGTACGCCATGTTCACTCGCTATTGCCAACACTGACATGGCTCAAAAGTAGTGTTATAAAATCATTACGGTAACGTAAAACACATCAGACAACTAGGTACGAGTGATGCTACAGGTGGGTTATACACTGGAGGTGGAACGGAACCTTGATGCAAATAAAGGTCAAGGTCATTCATCGGTGAGGTGAGTGCCATTGAATGCCATATAAGCTATATCAACGGTAAAACATACAGAGGTTTTGTAAAGAGCAGGACAAAGATGACTTGGTATTCGACGTCTTTGTAAAGGTCAATATTATAACCTAGTTTTATCTTTGAAGTCACTGCAATGGCCAAATGGCATCTGGGTCACCGAAACATCGAAAACATAAGTACATGTACTTAGTCTTCAATATAAACGGTCAATGCCATGAAGTAGCTAACAGTTTTTACGGAAAGAATTTTAGCTGCATAGAGAAAGAGTATTTTAAAAATTGCTTGAAATCTTTTCCACCGGAGACACAGACGCAGTCTACCACTTATCTCGACCTCCACGTGGGGTACATGGGGTGTTTTTCTTACATTGAGACAAAGGACCTGTGGTTTGAGTTTCACCCGAAGGGCTATTCTAGTAACAGACCGCAAAGAGCTCTTTGATGAACAAGAGATATACATACTTAAGATGACACTCGGTAACCTGTCACAGACAAGGGGTTCTCGCCTGGACGTGACAGAAAACAAACACTACCAGACATATTTTCAAGCAGAGCTATGTATAGTTGGTACTCTGGCTTAGGTAAATACCCCCGTAGCTGAGTAGTGGTGCTTGTGTTTACATAACATATATTCTCTTACAAACAAAAGGCCAACAAAACTACAAACGATATAAAAACAACGAAAGTAAGACAAGAAAGATACGCATTTAGCAAATGACGGTATTGTATGTTCTTATCATCAACCTTGTAAGTTTGCTACGTCATTTTAAACGTGTCCATTGGTTGGGGAATTTTACTTAATGAAGCTATCAAATGTATTATGGTTTATTTCTCCGTAAAGTTCGAGTAAATTGACCTTGGGACTGTTACATGTACCTCATAGCGACAACAATGAAACTGACGACATTATATCATATTTCTATACACGGCCGTAATGCATTGTAAGGTTTGTATACACGGCCGTAACGATCATCGTAAGATCTGTA